ATTTTGACAGGTAAACGAATTGCACTTGTAAATTTGATTCGTACTTGTAAATTTTATTCGTACTTGTAATGTGGCAAAGTTGTAACAAATTTATATACGTTTAAAGACTTACATGTACAAATTTAGACTCTTACACATACAATGATTCTGACAGTMATCTTATCCCATACTCATCAAAACTCATTTATCATTTTATTTGTTTATGGTAAAATGGAATTAAGATGGCTCATACTGAACCTGCTGAGAAAATACAGAAAAACAACAACCAAGGCAAGGAACTCTTGCTAACACTAGTTGAGTCCATCCATCCATCCATCCATCCATCCATCCATCCATCCATCCATCCATCCATCCATCCATCCATCCATCCATCCACGTGTTTGTTCCTGTGCATGGTCAAGAGCAGCTGATGCCTATACCTATACATGTTAGTAGGTAACAGGAGAGATTCAGCCTAAGCAGGATGACAGTCAATCACAGTGTTGCAACCCATTCTCAGTGTAAACATGTTGGTGTAACATAAGACCTTATTGCACTGCAAGYCACGGTCTGTGTCGGCCTGGCTTTAAACCTGTGTTCAGTGTGTTTGCATTAGCCCTCGTGGCCCAGTTCCACCCCGATTTCTGGAACCCCAAGATTATTATTACCATTGTTATGTCACAAATAAAATGAGATTTGTGCATGTTTAATATTATGATCCCGTCCACATCAAGGTGACACTCTGCTCAGTGCAAACACAGAGAGGAAAAAGGCCAGGCTGACTGAGCCGGGACGGGCTGAGCCTGGCCTTACAATGCAAAAACACCTAAAGTAACAAACATCCACTTATTAACAAAGTTAATCCTAGGACCAGTTTCTATTCACTAGTTCCTAATTTAGAGGGAACCTGTCAATGCACAAAGATAATGTGAAAAATCCACACAGAACCTCTGCCCCAACAAGGAGTTTCAAACCCAGGCCTTTCTATATGCAAGGTAGCAGTTCTAACTGTGCATCCTCTTTTTTTATTCCTTCAATAAAAGCTACACTAACACAAAGATTAAGTAAGGTGACAAAAGATAAAATCTATTATAGATTTTTTTCATACATAATACATACACAAATGCACATTTTTGCTCACTTTTGATATCCCCCCCACCCCCAGCCTCACCCCTCAGTTGAAACAGTTGTGCAACCTCAAGCCATTTCATCTTCAGCAAATGGGACAAACTAAACGAAGAAACTCCCTTTTGATTCAAGTTTATAATGCAACATCAGACAAATTAAGCATGCTAACACAAAATACAGTTTCAAGGCACCACCAKCAACAARAACAAAAAAAGAAGTTTTCATTTCGGGCTTTTGTAAACAAAACGTGTTTGCACTCAAATAACATTAGAAAGTAAAGACCACAAACGTGGTAAAAATAGAAGCAGATAGTGCTGCAGTAAGCACTCTTAACTTCTTAACTACCCCTTTTTCTACCTCAGCACCTCCTACACAAGAGCACCTTTTGGCTTCCTGTGCAACACCACAGTTTTCCATTGTGGCAAGCTGCAGCTTGTCACGCTTCACTGACAACTTCAGTCAGGTGAGTGACTGCAAAACAAACTTGCTGAGCTGCATGAGAAAAAWACACAAAAGAAATGAGTTCATACTTATAAATAAAATATACAAACACTGTCTTACTTTTATTGTGGCTGAATGTTTGTCTTATCGTGTATTTCAATCATTATGGCAAATGAGCCCAATTAACTGTGATATTTATCAACTATAGTTAAAAAGTCATAATATAACTTGACACAGCTTATGTGATTTGTGCCCCTACCATTGACTAATATTACAACTTTAGTTGACATTTTCATTGATTAACTGAAGGGGGCACTCTAAGCAAGCCTGGTGCAGGCCTCCTCATGCAAATTTGAGTATGGGCCAATACTTTCACTGAGAGGTTCATTGACTGCATCTTATAAGTGCTCTGTCCTGCACTTGATTCCCTGTTTGATGCTGATTGGTATTCCAGGGTCGCAGCTTTGCAGAGGCTCTGTATTTCACTCCTGTGATAATGATGCTTGCTTTGTTTGTCCCAGATGATTAGCTTTTGCATAATGCAAACCATTTAAATATCAACACTTCTGTTCTAAAAACTCAGTCCATTAAAGGAACATGCATAAGTGTCTGTTTTTTTATTCCTTGTGAATGTTAACAGGATCCTTTTCTATGAGCAGAGAGGCTGAATAAAAACCAGATAGTGCTAATAGATGTCCATGTGCCTTTAAGAGGGAAGATCACATTGTTATTCTAGGTTTGTCTACAAGCTGACTGTGGAGGTGGACAGATAGCAGTTCTGGGGGTGGTGTGTGGAGGTGGGAGAAGGAGTGGGAGGGGTGAGCGTAGGAGTCTCCTAATATGAGTCTCTGGGCGCCAGTATGGATTAGAAAGGAGACTGCAATGTGAATAAGTTGTCCTTTAGGTCCATCCCATGTTTTACAGCACATCCAAGGAGACGGGGATTGATCCTGTGCTCTCTCCTCCGCGGTGGAGCTGCAGTCTGAACACTCAAGGCTAAGCTGCCCATTAACAGGCCAATAATTTGTATCATTATGAGACGACTACAGCTGGTGCTTCTGATGCTGTTCACATATCATGCCTGAAAACTGAAAGGAAACTTAGCTATGCTCATTATAAAGCCAGCTTCTTCCCTGCTTCTGTCCTTTGTCTTGAAAGCTTACATGGCAAAAAAAAAAAATTAAATAAAAAAGGCTTGGTTTGGGTAGCTCATTCATCCCCTCCCCAGCTCCCTTTWTGAATCGCAGCATGCTCAATATAAAATCAATGTATTAAGTGTTCTCAAGTACATGGAGTGATGTGCTGCCATTCCCACTCTGTGCCTTTTGCTGTGATTACAGCTAATTTGAATGATTGAAATGCTTCCATAGAAAAGCCAGAGTGAGTGAAGTGCAGGGCTCACACAGATGAAGGGGAAGGAGACAAATAAAGGCTTCGCTCTACTCCAGGTGGAGGAGGTGAGTCATTCCCCGCACCGGTCGACAGTCTACTACTGTACACAACTGTGAGCACACGCATGCCCCAAATTGTTGTTGAGAGGATCAAATAAGCAGTCGAGTAATAAAGAATGAATACAACTCCGTGGTTGTGTACTTCCGTGTGTTTTTGTCACTATTTTTGTTCCTCTGCATGTGTGTTTGCATGTGTCTGTTGCAATGAATATTTTTGGCTTTGTGTTGTGCAAATGAATAATGACTGTATGTGGATTCAGGTTACTTAGCATAAATGATGAAATTTAAAAGGACGTTTAGCAGGGGAAACAAGAAAATTACTTTAATTTAATATAAAGTTCTGTAAATGTTTTATGATAAAATGCAATAAAATGACTTTATAACTATTTAAAACTGTAACAATCTAAGCTGTTTGCTGATTTGTGGTAATTTGACATGTTTTATTGTGAGAGTAAGTAGCAGGTGGAAGAGAGCCTGGAGAGGAGGCGGAATGCTTTACATCAACTATTTAATAAATAAAGATCTGTTTTACCAAACATCTGAGTTTCCCTGTGTTTACAAATAAAAAAGTGCATATAATAAGAACATATTTCAGTTTCAGTAATGCTCCAGTGGCTGCTCCCACAGCAACAACTTCACACGGACACACACGATCACTTGTCCTTTGCACAGGACARATTTTTACATCCCACAACTTACCTAGGAATTTGTTCTCACTCACATTAAATTTAATTCACTATTTTCCACTATTTTCCGGCACAGTGGCTCAGTTGGTAGAGCTGATGCCTCTCAGCAAGAAGGTCACTGGTTTAAATCCCGGCCCGGGGACCTTTCTGGGTAGAGTTTGCACGTTCTCTCCGTGCATGCGTGGGTTTTCTCCGGGTACTCCAGCTTCCTCCCACAGACCAAAAACATGACTGTTAGGTTAATTGATAACTCTAAAATGAGAGAGTGAATGGTTGTTTGTCTTGTTTGTCTCTATGTGTCCCTGTGATGGACTTGCGACCTGTCCAGGGTGTACCCCGCCCCTCGCACTGTGACTGCTGGATATGGGCACCAGTGACCCACGCGACCCTGAAAGGAAGAAGCGTGTACAGAAAATGGATAGATGGATTTT